TGCACTAATAGATTAACGGCCAAGCCATATTATTCAAACCGACAAGAGCAGCTAAAGAGGTCTGTTGACTAGCTGTCGTACCTCAAGTATATCAGTTCAAAGTTCGGGACGGCTATGCGCTGATAGCCCTTATGTAGCCTTACACAAAATTCTGAAATTGCTCTTTCTACTATTACCCCAATAAGCCATAAGACAATTAATATCTATGAATGCATTCTAATGAAAGAAGCATATAAAAAAAACAAAAAAAAAACTATTAATCACTTCTTATTAGTCCTGGAACATCAACTTCAGGAAATAGGTTTTACTTATCAACCCCAGGGGTTTGATTTTATTATTTGTTTATTGTTAAATAGAAAATTACACAAAGGGCAATCTGTGCTTTGCACACTGCAGATATTGAAGCATTATAAGTCCTCAGATTTAAAGCTGATCACGGGAGACCTGATTTAAATAGCCTATTTTTATTTTTATAATTCCATTGGGAGCAGCTACCTTCCTATAGATGATGAATGTTAGGTTTAGAAGTGGAAGTTGTGAACTTGAGACCCTTGTCAGCACTTAAGTTGTTAATTTTCTGCTCTTTCACATGGGAGCTAAACTTATAAATACAGATTAAATCTAATATATGGCTTGTGCTTCCTGCTGCGCTGGGCCTATTTCTACATCTCTTTTAGTGAGGCACATTGATGTTACTTTCCAACAATATAGTTATCAGCCTAGTTTAATTTACATTTGTGTGTGTGTAAGTGTGTAGATTTCGTTTTGCTTTGACCTTAGTATTTGAGCATATTAAAAATAGAAAATTAACCAAAAGACAGAAGCCACTGAAAACATGAAGAGTACGTTATCATTGAAGTTTCTCTGAAGGACGGAATTTAACATATCCTTCCAGATCTTAAATTTCAAGTTAAACTTCAAAACAAAATTCAAATATTTAGTTATCTCAGCCAAATTAAAAAAAAAGATATTAAATTCATTGTTTTATATATTCTGCTGACACTTTTGTACATTGTTTTCATTTAATGTTTTTTACACTTTCTTTTTTGCCTTACGTTCAAACGGCATGCTTTAATATATTGCTGAGATTTATATCTAACAATGTGAATGTTTAATTAGCTATATCGCTGTAGCTCTGTAAATTATACTTACAAAACAGAAAAAATATCTCTCGAACAAAATATTAATAATTCCGAAATACACACATCGTTTTTAATGTGTTGTCGTTCGGCTTTTACGTAAGTTATATAAACTTTTACTTGTTGTTTTGCTCGTTTTTTTGTTCTGCCTTTGATGAACATTTTTTACCACTCTGAAAACTCAGATTTCAAATAAATATTGCTGTAAAATTGGCTTAGATTTTGATAGCTTTTAAAAGAGCCATAAATTTATTTTTCAAGTGTCACAATTTATCGCTTTGGAGTATGCACAAAACTCTATTTTAAGGGATGTGAAAAATAAATTACATCAAAAATCATCTTTACCTATACAAGTTAATTTTAGAGTGATATTCTACGAAGTTTCTTAAAAATTTCATTTTCCCAAAAAACTTTGTAAAATTGAGCATGTAAATTGCGTAAAATACTAAGAATTGGAGAAAATGTAAAAAAAAACTATCATAAAGGTCATGGCCTGAGTTGTGAGAAGAAACGTGTATTTTTATTTTAATGAAAATGCTAGAAAATGTTTTACGTTTTTGTATTAGTATCTAATGTGGTTCATTAAATGCGTTTAATTAAGAATATTCTTTTATTTATCAAAGCTGGTATGTATAGATAGAATATTCATTCGATTGAAAATCAGGCACAACATTAAATATGACAACATTCGCGGGCAAATGCAACTTGTTTCCGTCACGCAATTCCAAAATGGCCAATGTTGACACCAGAAAAATCATGAAAAACACCAAAAATGGGCAAGTCCAACATTTTTGTTTGTAAATGTATGTTGCCTGTAGAAATCTATCTTTGTACCAAATGCCATGTAAATTGGTCGAAAGAAGGCTAAGTAATTTATCAAAACTCCTAAAATTATGTGTTTATTTAACTCTTTAAGTTGACCCTAAATGAGCATATCCCACATTTATATATGTATATATATGTGACCTGTAAACAAGTATTTTTTGTATCAAACTCCGTGAAAATTGGTCTAAATACGGCGGAGTAATTGTCAAAAAAACAACAACAACAAAATCCTAAAATTATGTCTTTTATGGCAACTTGATCCCCATATAATTATTAAAAACTAGCGTATAGCCCGTCAAAAATGACGGGGCAAGTACTACCACACCCACCCCATAGCATTACCTAACCTCACATTTCATAGCTAACTGAAATAAATATATTTTGTGAAATCGAGCCTCACCAACAAAGAGGCAGAAAAGCGCAGTCGAGGCAGTCCAACGTCGGTAAATTTTTTTTGTGAGCCAATAAAAATTAAGATCATTCATGAAATGAATTCGTGGCGTATTCGTAGAATAATTATTGGTAAAAACTCAATTAGATTAACAACTTCTAATATATAGAAAAACCAGTGTGTTTTGGTAACACAAAGTTCCATCAATGGCTTTTATGTCATGTCGCTTAGCAACAAAAGTATAACCTAATGTTGTTGTTAGTCTATGTACTGAAATAATAAAATGAAATGTGTAGACAACAAAAGTGGAAAAATATTTATTGATTTCTTAATTAGAGCCTTTGTGATTAAAGAGGTTTTTTTTATTAAAAAGGTTGGTGGTTAAACAGAAAATAGCTGAATTCAGAAATGATTTAAGTTTAAAACTGAATCGATATTTTTATGTTCATGATAAATTTTGTGCACTTGGCTCTAGGCTAGGTGATCCCACACTACGTCTTTACTTTAGGCTTATTATACCAACACTCGCTACACTTATAAGGTTTTACGACACACACACACCCCTCACTGCTCTCTAGTACCCCTGTCACTAAAATCGTAATGAGCAGACAGTAATCTAACTATTCTATCTCGATATGTGCATTTTGGGTTTTATGACTCCTCCTATTTCGAGAAATCAAGGGTGATGTGACGTGACACACACTGGCTTTTATATAGGTTAGATGTTCAAAGCCACCATTTTTGTTTGTGTGGGACCTGTATTAACATATCTTTTCATCAAATCTCAAGTAAATTTGTCAAAATATGGCGACAAATTGACCGAAATCCCCAAAATTATGTTTTTTGTGAGCTTTTAGCTCTAAAACCTCAAAATGGGTAAATCCAACTTTTTGTATGCCAATGTGATGGGCGCTTGAAAATTTATATTAGTGCTAACCTTCATCTTGATTGCTGTAAATATGACTGCACAAAAGCCCAAAATATACATTTTTGGTTGCTTGACCTTTGACCCCCATAAAATTCTTAAAAAGGTCTAAATAAAAAATAAATAAAAAGAGTCTGGGCGTGTTAGACTAAGGTATAACTCTTTACTTAATTTTTATAGTGCATATTGGTGTCTAGAAGACATTATAATACTAAAAATAAACGACATTGTAACACCAAATTGTTGTTTTTGTTTGATTAGACAGTCAACATTTATTTTTACAACTTCTTTATGTCTCATCTATCACTTGGAAAACTCTTCTGTCTGAAAAATAGTAAGACTTTTTGCATTGTTTCATTTTTTATTTTTCCTCTTCTACCATTAGCTGTTTAATACATTAGAGGATAGTGAAATGTATGTATTCTCCCTATTAGTACTAAGCAATGCAGAGTATAAAGGTTATTATCATTGCAAACTTTTCATGCTTAAAAGTGTTTATATTCTATTATTATTGAGAATGATAGATACAATAAGAATTTATCAATTACACAGGCCTGCGATGGTTTTATTGTCCTAATATTTTTACGTGTTCCACAGTAATTCCTGTACGCTAAATCCGAAAACGATCTCCATTTCTCTCCATCACGTACAGATTTTTCACAAAACGTCATAACGCAATACATAACAGAAAAACCACAACACGTAGTTTTGAGACTAAAAGACGTAGATTTCGCAAAATAATTAAGATGAATGAGGATGCATATTCGTTTTGCATTAATGTTCTTCCCTTTTCTTCAGTTTGTTTGTATTTTTCTTAACAAACATAATAATAAAAAATGTTCATTGTGGTGAACGAAATAATAATTTGATTTAAGTAAGATTTTTTCTTCCCGATTTGCAAAAAATCTTTACGTGATAGATAAAAAAAGAATATTATTTCGAAATCTGCGTAGCTGAATTATGGAAAATCCGTTATAAAAGCTGAAACAACTTTTATGAAATTCTAATTCTCAGGCCTGCTATTTGCTGAAGTTTCAAGTTAGACTGTCTAACTTGCTTAATTTTCAATGCATGTTAATAGGTTTTTATGATAGTATGTTCTCTAATCATCAGAATTGTGCAATCACAATAAAACGTTTTGTAAAACCTAGTTTTTTTCTATTTATTTTACGTGTTACTGAGTTAACCATCCTTTACGAGTAGCCCTGCACAAGGAAAACAACATAACATAACCTTGTCTCTCGTAGTGGTGGACTACACCTTATGTGTATTGTGCTTGTAAGGTGAGATCTAGTCTCCGTTATATTGGTCTACTGTATGTTACTGATTTCACTCATTGGTTGCCTATTTCTAAAATATCTGCATCGTTATCAATTAGTGATGATAAGTAAAGGATATTAATAATATCATTCATGAATATTTTAATCGAGTGAATATTTTTGAAACTCAATATTTATGACACATTTTCATAGACTTGAAGTACGATTTGATAAGTTTGTCTATTTTACTTTATTAGTTGTTTTTTTCAAAATTCAACATCACCTTGTACATCCAGCCTTACCGGCAGCGACATATATATATATAACATCCATCTTATCATTTATCTTTACACTACAGAGATAGACCCGTTGATCAGTGCAAATAATTCATCAAATAAAATAAAACTCCAAATACGATCTAAAAAATAATCACGAGTGAACTTTTTACTTACTTCCTTTAGACTCTCACAACAACCCTCAAATTGGACACAATCGTCTAGATTCCAGTGTTGACGCGCCTTTTTTGGTACTTTTAAAGTATCTTCTCTGTTGGAGAGAATGCTGTACAACGTTCACAGATGGTGCTGTTCACCAGATGATTTTATTCAGTGCACTTAAGTCCTCTGAATGATTTCAATGTTGCTCTAAGGCACTTTTTCACAGTCCTTACAATGTAGGTTTGTACTCTTATAAGTCCTGAACATTTCACGTTTTTCACTAGGAAGTTTTTATATTGTTGTAATGTTTTATGTATACAGGTGATCGTCCATGATAAAGAATTGTGACTGTCAAGTAGTCATACTTCTTCAAATTCAACTTGTTTAAAATATTTTAACGTTTTGCGCACATTTCGGAAAAACTTAATTCACTCATTTGCTGTTTTTGTGAAATTATATTTAGTAACTTTCATTGCTGAGCAGGCTTGGTGGCCGTGTTATGTTCAAGTGGTATTAAAATACATTTTCAGGCCACTGAGTATTTGAAATTTAATTATTTGAAAATATTTTCTGTGTTTTGCATTACTGTATGAATTAATAAAAATAAGTCTAATTGTACTTACTCTGAGACCGTGGTTTAACAAGTAATCCTATTATCACATATTTAATAATAAACATGTTCATACTACAGTTCATTTTTAGAAAACAAGGCTGTGAAAACAGAAACGTTCTAAACTTTAACAATGATATTACATCTACATTTAGTTCTCTGTCTTAGTGTTGATATGTTTGTGAAGAGTTTTTACATTACTAGATATCATTTGCTTGCAGAAAAAGATTTGTCAGCACCTTCTTTTGTTTATTAAAAACGCATTTTCCTCAAACAGGATTCAAGTTGCTAGTAAAGGAGACACTTTGATTAAGCTAGTAGATCTAACACGTATTGATTGAATGTTTCAACAGCATTATCCTAACTAAATATTTTTTCAATATTTGCTACAGTAGAACAGTTTTGAATATTTCACTTAATTTCGCAATATAAACTGTTCTTAAGTTGCTAGCACTTATGAAATTACTGACCGATTGTTAATAATTTATTGTTTGGTTTTGTATTTAACACGTTATAATTCAGTAATATCAGTTTAAAGATAAATCTGTTTCAACTTATTATCTTTGAGGATGGTATACATTTTTATGAAAGTATGTCTGTGGAATGACAGATTAACCTGCCCCTAGTGGCACAGCGGTATGTCTGTGGAATGACAGATTAACCTGCCCCCCAGTGGCACAGCGGTATGTCTGTGGAATGACAGATTAACCTGCCCCCAGTGGCACAGCGGTATGTCTGTGGAATGACAGATTAACCTGCCCCCAGTGGCACAGCGGTATGTCTGTGGAATGACAGATTAACCTG